TCAACCGTTTCAAAGTTATGACCCAGGGGTTAAGTCTGCAAGGGTGGGGCAAACCCTGGGGTCAATTCTAATATCATGACTGCATTTGTCTCTTTATGCCCAACAATTGTATATATAGTTTTGGGGTGGGGATCTTAACCATTTCAAAGTTATGACCCAGGGGTTAAGTCTCCAAGGGTGGGGCAGTCCCCAAGGCCATCCTGGAAGCATATGTGCATTCATCTCTTTGTAATCGGCAATTGTCTATATGGTTATAGGGTGGGGATCTCAACTGTTTCCAAGCTGTGACTAAGAAACTAGGTCCCTAGGGGTTCGGTCAGACCCCAGGGTCTATTCTAATATTGTGACTGCATTCGTCTCTTTATGCCCAGCATTTGTATATATAGTTTTTGAGTGGGGATCTCAGCCGTTTTAAAGTTATGACCCAAGGACTATGTTTCCAAGGGTGGGGCCAGACCCTATAGCCATCCTGGGGGGGTGGGTGTCAGCCCCACCATTTGTACAATTTTGAATCCCTGCCTCCCATGAATGCTTCCGACCAAATATGATCGATATCCATGGCATAGTTTTACAGAAGAAGTCGTTTATAGCAATATAGCCAAATTGCCCCCTTTTGGCCCTGCCCTCAGCCCCCTGGGGGGTCAGCCCAACCATTTGTACAATTTTGAATCCCCACCACCTAGGAATGCTTCCAGTCTAATATGGTTGATATCCATCACAATATAGCCAAATACACTTTTTTGCCCCGCCCCTGAGCCCCCTGGGGGTCAGCCACACCATTTGTACAATTTTGAATCCCTGCAACCCATGAATGCTTCCGACCAAATATGATCGATATCCATGGCATAGTTCTACAGAAGAAGTCGTTTATAGCAATTGATCGATATCCATGGCATAGTTCTACAGAAGAAGTCGCTTATAGCAATCTAGCCAAATTGCCCCCTTTTGGCCCAACCCTCAGCCCCCTGGGGGGTCAGCCCCACATTTGTACAATTTTGAATCCCCACTACCTAGGATGCTTCCAGTCTAATATGGTTGATATCCATCACTTAGTTCCAGAGAAGAAGTCGCTTAAAGCAATATAGCCAAATACACTTTTTTGCCCCGCCCCTCAGCCCCCTGGGGGGTCAGCCCCACCATTTGTACAATTTTGATTCCCCACCACCTAAGGATGCTTCCAGTCAAATTTATTAAATTCCAGTCAGTGGTTAAGAAGAAGAAGTCGTTTAAAGAAATTGTTGACGGACGGACGACGGATGGACGGACGACGGACGCCACGGTGTGGCATTAGGTGAGCTAATAAATTGACATTTTTGTCAACAAATCGTTTTTTTTGACTGACAATTATCAACTGATGATATGGAAATAAATAACCACTATTTAACTAGTGATAGGATGGGAAATTCCTAAATTATCAGCCTTTGGTTTTGGTTGAAATAATATGGTCCAATAAATATATGTTAATATCTCCCTTTAATTTTAATTTTACTTAAACAGATGGAATCTCTCGTCCTGGCACTTTAGTAACATGGAGCAGCCTGTTTGGATATAGAAGCCTGGTAGTTTGATGCAGAAGGCCAGGGAATGTCACAAAAATAAATAAAAACAAATTATTTGCAGTGTTTTTTGTTGGGGGTTTTTTTGACATCAAGCATAGAAACTATAATTCATTTCAATTATTGATTATCTGTCTAGGAAACACTAGAAAGCACACAATGGAATTTATATATTAAAATTAAAAGGGAGGGGGCACTGGTCCATGGTCGCAAGCCATCACGCGCATCTGTTTGTTCACAAATTAAAATTTGGCGAAACTGAATCAAGACCCAAAGCTAGCCCTGAGGTACCAGGGCTAGAGAAGAATTTTACTGAATCAAGACCCAAAGCTAGCCCTGAGGTACCAGGGCTAGAGAAGAATTTTACAATTTGAAAATATAGGTAGGACTAGTAAAACTTTAAAAATCTAGGACTAGTGATCTTATTATGTCACCTGCTCACTTGACCTTCAATTGTACTCAGCTGGAAGTCACAACTGCCAGGTACATTTAGCATTACGATCATTTATATCATAATCTGTCAAAATGTAATACTATCTGTCAATGATGCTATAAGGATCCTTCTATTACATGTTTATTTCTGATAATCAGTTTACAGCAAGCTTATAGGACAAAAGTTAACGAAGGTCAGTCGTCATAATAACCCATTTGCTGGGAATTGCTCCCATTTCTAAGGCTGATATCACAACATCAACATCATATAATCCACTATCAACAGAAATCTGATGGATTAAAGTAAAGTGATGCTGCATGTACATGTTTTTTCTTATCCCATTTAATTGATAGTCAGAAAGTGTAGGTGAAATGCATGCTAATTAGTTGATACTTAAATTATATTACATCATAGCACGTTAGAGTTTTTCAGATTTGAGTTTATTTTTAACTAAATTCATGTAATACTATTGTATATGGGATTCCATCAAACGTACTTAAAGGAAAATTAAGCCTTGCAGACAAATTTTAAATCGTTTCTCCATTGATATTATAGAACTTGGGAAAAGCTATAGTAAGCTGGTTTTAAATATCTCCATGAAAATCATCAGAGCACCTTTAGCTCATGTTTCCTAAAGACATATTTACAGTATTTGTGACTTTTTATCATTTTATCTATAGATAATTGATGGTGGCGCATACAACAGGTGTTTCACCTAACATGTCAAACACCACACAGCTAGAAGCCAGCTTGTGTTCAGCAACATCTGTGTTACTGTTTATCCTGCCATGCCCAAAGGTCAAGCATGCTAGGTCGGCAACACATGTTCCTTGTTACCTGTGGGATTACATCTGTAACTTAATACTACACAAGCTTTAAATCCAGTAACCATAGTGACCATTGACCACACCCACAATCTGCATCCCACGTTTTCACCATGGCATTTATACAATCTAGTCCTGTGGACATTTTATTGCCCAGTAAACTGAGTGTTACAATGATATGAGAAGCAATCTAACCTGACTAACATACAATCAGATTCAATGACAAATGGCAATAAAATTCCCTTAGTACTATGAACACACAAATGTCTATGATATATATCAATCCAGTATTCCAGCAAGGCAAGCTTTTCAGTCCCATGATGTTGGGTGTTTTTGATGGATGAAATATATATTATGATGGACAACAACCAAATTATTTAAAAAAATCATTATCCCAAAGACATTTTTCTCCTCCACTTACCTGCCATACTCCTACAACGGCGTTACATATTAAAATCGTCAGAATTACAAATGGCTCTACAAAGGCTGTCACTTGTTCTTCACTCTCCTCAAACCAAGCTAATACCTGTAAATAGAGAAATATACCTGTCAGGTTCATAACCAAGCTTATACCTGTAAATAGAGAAATATACCTGTCAGGTTCATAAAACAAACATATCAACCTCATCTAACAAGAACGATTTTCTGGTTTTTTGTTCAATCAAGCATTTCATTTTTAGCTGGGCCAGCAGATTTTGTGTTGGTAGAATTAGACAATTTTGTAAAGAAATCAGAAAGGGGCCGATCTGTCTCCTTAAACACTGGCTGGATTAAGTGGAAAACTACATAAGAAGTGACTCGATTGCTGAAAAAGAAACTCCGACAAAAATTGACCACAGAAACCTGCAGTCAATCCATCAGTCAGATGCCAAGCAATTTTTTATCGTTTCTGGTTTTTTAGACTTCCTGTAGTTATCTCCCCACAGCTATTTACTTTATATTACAAACCTATAGCTCATGATGATCTCAACCATTTCACGACAAAGTCAATTTATTGCAACACAACCACCGAATGATATTTAAAGTCTTGGTTCTGAATGCAAGTAAACCCAGTACACATAGCTATTTTCAAGTTTTATTGAATGCAACGATATGTTGATCAAGCATCACTATAAAACCACTCATCACGACAGCACCAAATTCACATTACAAAGTTATTTGGCAAGAGAAATGATTAAGTATCACTTTAAGCAAAGCAATGTTGAAATTGTCAACCACATCAAAGAAAAATAAACAAGTATACAGAAATAAAATTTGATTTGGAGTCTGCTTATAACATTGTGGAGACTTGAAAGACAAGCAAGTTATAATATTGCATATTGGTTCTGTCAAATTTTGGTGGACAAATATTGTCAACGACTGGTTACAGAGTCTAATTATTGTCCTGTTTTTCGTCTCGTCTTTCGTATCAGACAATTATCCAACAAATCTAAACATTGCCTTTCATCTTACAGCGGTAATTGGCTGAAGTGAAGCGTCTTTCTTTTGCTGAACTGCCGTAGTATAATTATATTTCCCTCAGGAGATGATAAGTTATACCATTTCTACGGAAAGCTGCTATACCTACATGTAGTTCAAAATTACGGAGTCAAAAGACTTTCATCAAAGCCCGCACAAATACAATGTTTGTAGTAGGATGTAAACAAAACTATCCTCGCCTTTCTCATAGGGTGGATTTGTCAGGCTTTTGGGTTGTTTTTATCCAAATCAATGCAAAATGATACTTTAATTTCTTGCTGAAGATTTTCATCACCTACTGCAAACACAAACACTATCTCGAGTTATGCATGAACCTTTTTTGACACAATGACTGAGGGTTTGCTTTAACGGTTGCCCACTAGGCTGTCAAAGTTCAATCTTTACTAACACTGTTGGTTATTCAATAGTCAATTGTTCTCATAAAGGAAATTTATGAAACATATACATATATATATATATAAAATAAAAACATATATATATATCTGTCCAAACTTTTTGGTTCCATGCAATTATTTTCTACACTTGATACTAATGTGACTTAAATATTATCACTGTATGTAGCTAACGTGGTTATTTTAGGTATTCCATGTGTAGTTGACCAACAGATACATATTGACGAGTATTGAAGACATTATTGATAGATGTATACATATATCAGAAGATTTTGTTTTATTTCAATATTATGATGTCTCTTCAAGTCTGATGATACAACAAAGTTCTGACAGGCCATCAAAATATGTTATCTACGGCCGAAAAGTATAAGACCAAACACATTGCCACAAATGTTAATATAAGCTGTGGAGCACAAACAAATATTTTCATATGAATTCAATATACATGTTTATATAGGAAAAGGCATCTCAAATCTATTTTTGTGAATTTTGATTTGAAGCTTATATCATATGTAAAAACAAATTTAATAAATATTTGTTATCTGATAAATGCTACCAAAATTAATATGCTTCACAAAAATTCACAGAGATACCTTGAGATTTCCATTTATAACATTCCCTGATAGGCTATCTATGAAATAATGATAGATTTTGATTTACGGATGGAGGTTATTCTCTACAGGAGGTAACAAAGACAGATCTACAAAGAGTGTACTGCCAATTACAGGCTGGGTGAACAGGGGTTTGTTTACACAAACATAAATTGTGTACATTGTACATGCACATCTTGTTTACAACCAATCCCCTGATTTTGGTGTATAAGGTCACTGGCTACACACTACCTATATGTATATAATATTGTAGGCACTATTCAATGGTTAAGTCTATAAACTAGGGTCAGGTTTACATGGTGTAAAGCACACTTATGTATTCAGGAAAGATAGGAGACCAACCATTGTCAAGAACAGCTGATTTTGTTTTCATACCAAATATCAATAGAGAAACAAAATATCCAAATAATTCAATATTTGCTGCTATTCAAAAAGAGAATTGGACCATTTATGTAGCCTACTATTGACTACTCAGTGTTGCAAGAAATTTCAACTCTTCCTAACCCTAACCCTAACCAACCCTAACCCACCCTAACCCTCAGAATTAGAGTGTTGCTGCCAATGTTCCAAAAGGGTTTATAACCATGACCAGCACTGAGAAGGGAGTTTACCCCGATACATTGTAGCACATTAAAATACCACTATGTACCCGATACATTGTAGCACTCTAAAATACCACTACATACCTCATACATTGTAGCAAATTAAAATACCACTATGTACCCGATACATTGTAGCACTCTAAAATACCACTACATACCCGATACATTGTAGCACTCTAAAATACCACTACGTACCTGATACATTGTAGCACATTAAAATACCACTATGTACCCGATACATTGTAGCACTCTAAAATACCACTACGTATCTGATACATTGTAGCACATTAAAATACCACTAGGTACCTGATACATTGTAGCACTCTAAAATACCACTATGTACCCGATACATTGTAGCACTCTAAAATACCACTACGTACCTGATACATTGTAGCACATTAAAATACCACTAGGTACCTGATACATTGTAGCACTCTAAAATACCACTACATACCCGATACATTGTAGCACTCTTAAATACCACTACGTACCCGATACATTGTAGCACATTAAAATACCACTATGTACTGTTTGTAGAACACTGTATCAGAAACAGGGGAATCCGTTCCTTGTAGGAAATCCTGTTGATTTTCACCGTTTCATGATTTCCTGATGCTAAACATAATGTATGTCACCTTCAACTTTGCTGTAAAAATATGCAAGTTAGAATTTCTACCCAAGAAATACCAGGTTTAACTTAAATCGCCAACACTAGATAATATACAGACCAATATAAAACTGAACATCAAACAGCAAAATAACCTGGCTATCAGACTGGCCTGTGGACAAGGGTTTGGTCATCTCTTCCTTATAATGTTTGTGTATGAATGACCACACATTTTCTTTTGTGGCTAATTATACAAGCTCCTTTACGTAGAAGTAGTCCTTTCCCTACAATAGCTAGTTAAAGCACCAGGCAAACTACACAACCACAAATCTATATGTACAGACACACAAACACGTACAATGTACATACATACTTTCTTAGAAATACACATCTAGATTGGCTACCTATGGACATTCATGAAAAAGGAAAATCCAGCTCATTAATTTAGACTCAATTTAGCTTTCCTAGTCATTTTTTGGGACAAAGTTCCGTTTCAATACATCCAGTACATGTATATATATCAGTTCATGATGTTTACTTCACAGTAGTAGTATTGTTATTCAGCAATAAACAAATATATACAGAGTAATTATCATTATCATATAAAGTGTTCATATATTTTATTTTAAAGTTCAATTAATTTGTTAATTTTGTGAATTAATCGTAAATGAGACTTGAGTTGATGGAATGTTCACGTATCTGCCAGTTCAAGTTATCACATTTTGGCAACAACCTTTGGAACATTATCAAATTATTGTTACATGCAAATATTTAGCTGCAGGCAGAAATATTGTATGTAGCTTGATCACGCGTAACACATGGACAAATATAAAATCAATTCAGAAGCAAGTGTATATATATATATATATATACAAGCCCCAACAGTGTATATATATATATATATACACAAGCCCCAACAGTGTGTGTATATATATATATATATATATATATACAAGCCCCAACAGTGTGTATATATATATATATATACAAGCCCAAACAGTGTATATATATATATATACAAGTCCCAACAGTGTGTATATATATATATATATACAAGCCCAAACAGTGTATATATATATATATATATACAAGCCCCAACAGTGTATATATATATATATATATACAAGACCCAACAGTGTATATATATATATACAAGCCCAACAGTGTGTATATATATATATATACAAGCCCCAATAGTGTATATATATATACAAGCCTCAACAGAGTATATATATATATATACAAAACCCAACAGAGTGTATATATATATATATACAAACCCCAACAGTGTATATATATATACAAGCCCAACAGAGTGTATATATATATATATAAAAGCCCCAATAGTGTATATATATACAGTATATAAAAGCCCCAACAGTGTATATATATATATAAAAGCCCCAAAAGTGTATATATATACAGTATATAAAAGCCCCAACAGTGTATATATATATATAAAAGCCCCAAAAGTGTATATATATATATATACAAGACCCAAAAGTGTATATATATATATATACAAACCTCAACAGTGTATATATATATATACACGCCCAACAGTGTGTATATATATATACAAGCCCCAAAAGTGTATATATATACAGTATATAAAAGCCACAACAGTGTATATATATATATATGCAAGACCCCACAGTGTGTATATATATATATACACCCCCACACAGTGTGTATATATATATATACACCCCCCAAAAAAGTGTATATATATATATACAAGCACCAACAGTGTATATATATATATATGCAAGACCCCACAGTGTGTATATATATATATACAAACCCCAACAGTGTATATATATATATATGCAAGA